GAAAAGTGTCTCGTAACATCCTTCTACATACAGCCATTTGCACTTTCGCGCGAGGGATGAGAGAAAAAAAGAGGAGAGAGAGAGAGAGAGAGAGAGAGAGAGAGAGACAACTCGCACATAATGCATGTTAAGTGCCAGGTGGCGTACACGCGAATTTTCGGCGCCCGGGCAGCAGCAAAAGTTTCACTTTTCTTACGCTCGCTTCGCGTTTTGAAGTCTGCGCTGGCCAGCGAAATTATATTCTCTCGCTTCCTTTCTCTCCGGCAAACTTTTGTCCAATATTCCCGGTGGCATCTGGCATATTGAACGCTGCTTTTCTCCCTTCACGCTTCGTTCTCTCGCTCTCTCCCTCTCATTCTCTCTCTCTTATTCGCCTATTTTTTATCCAAGTCGACGCGAGCTCTCAATTTTTTTTTGGTTGCTTAGTCATAGCATATTATAGATTTTCTTTCTCTCGTTGCGAATTCGATGATGCTTTGATTTATTTTCAAAAATTTGGCGCTCCTAAATAACGTATTAGCGATACGAAATCAACTCGAGGATTTAATCATATTCGTCCATCAAAAAATTAAACAGTATCAGAATTAACGCACGACGTCGAAGAAGGCAGTCCATCGCTGAATCTCATGTTGAATTTATTTATCGGGTTTGAACGTGGATATAACAGGGATTTCGCGTTATCCCCGCGCGTGTGCATGTAAATCAATGAATTTCGCCCATCAAATCTCTCGCTGTCGGCTGACGAACGATTAACCTCAAGCGAATCTTGCTCGGACGATAGCGTTTATGCATTGCTATAGTTGCGATAGCTCGACCAAGTGCACGTGTGTACGGCGATGTACGCGAAATTAGTAATTCGGAATATCAACAGCGATGTATTGTTAACTGCAGTTGCTGCCGCTGCTGTGTGTACGTACGCGCACTTGACTTGCTTATCAGGCATTTAAGTTCGCTTCGTGTTGCTCGATTAGCAAATTATATCGATTCGAATAATTTCTAGTTCTTTGGGGTGTCGTATAATTTTGTTTATTCTTTTTTCTTTTTTTTTTAATTAAAAAAATCGTGTCTTATAAAAATGTTGTTGGAATTAAATATTTTGGTTCACCGAATCTTTATATACGCAGAGATTATACGAAAAGCAACTCATCGCTTCGTAACGGAAATTTCATGAAAAAAAGCAATTAAAAGTTGTGTACACTTGAAACAGACGACTGCACTTCGGGGAGTTCACGCAACTGTGTGGAAGAACTTCAATGCAGCTACGAAGCATGTAAAAAAAAGTTTTCCGCTTCGCGGAATCGTTCAAATAATATAGCAAATTTTCATATTCCAGATTCACAGAATTTTCATATTGCATATTCTTAGTTGAAGTTGTACGATTTTATTATTTTGTAATATGTGCTATTCATCTAAAAATAATTAAATCAATCACCGTGATTGTTTCTAATACCCTTTTCGATTAGAAAAATGAAGTATTCTATTTCTTTAATTTTTATTCGAGTGAAAAAAAATAGCTTGTATTAATTGGAATTCAAATTCTACGGATGAAAATACATTAGAAATCATATTTTGGAGTATTTTCTACTCAAAATTTCTACTCTTTCAATGCCAATATGAAAAGCCAGAGGAAGGCTATCAAATTGTTAAGTATTATTATTAGTTCTTTGATTCTTCGTGTACACGCCTACTAAGAACGAACATTGATTATTGTAGATGATGATATTGAGTCGCAAAATAAGATTAATCGGCATGTACCTTCGAGCATATTATAATATCCAATGCACATGCGCACATACGTGCAATAACTCCTAATGCAAAGTGCCGTCAGATATCAGTCGGCCTCGTATAGCATCGAACAATTCCAATCAATTGGAGTAGTACGCGTTTAGTCGTCAATGTACACGTGTACAAGCTCTCTGCCCGATATCTCACTCTATACATATATAAGCCGCTGCTGCGGGTTGGTCGGCCGCCGCCGCGATGACTGAGTTGCTTGGCTGCTTTAATGAATAGTTGCGCGCCCCCTGCCTCTCGCCCATCACTTTCCCCTACGATTTCCATTCCGTCGCTGTCAGTCTGCTGCTGCTGCTGCTGCAAGCATGGGCTTATCTAACTCGCATCTGTGATTAATCAATTGTCTTTGTAGGAGATCCGCGAGGATGCGAAAGTGAAGAAGAGGAACCGCCGAGGTTATTGGGCAAGAAATCGGATCGATGGCCCGCGGCTAGCCAGCACGACTTGAGAAAATCTCTCGAGATAGAGAAAAAGAGAGATATCGGCGCGCGAAATCGGGCGCACGAGCCTCGTTACGATTCAGGCCTCGATCGCATTTCTACCGTCTTAGTCCAGCAACCTCTGCACTCTCTCTCCTCCTCTCTCCCTCTCTTACTTGGCGAGGACGATACGGCTTTTCAATTTCGCGCTTATCGCGGCAATGGCGGTGGCCCGAGCTTTAATCCGAATTCGGCTCTTGGTGAATTTACAAATATACGAGCCAAGGATCTCCTCCTCTCTTGAGAAGCTGGATTAGAATCGCAAGGAGGCGCCGGCTTAAATAATCAATCGACTTCTCCTTCTACTATTCTTTATCCTTGGAGTCCCCTGACGGCGAAGCTTTGACCTGTCTTACGCGTATAATGTTTACCGTCCTCAGGCTTTGCTCTACTTTTTTTTGCTCTAACGTACACTCTAATACTTTTGTTTAATGCTTGCCACGTCCAGCAAAAACAAATTCTTCTTTCCTTTTGCAGTCGGGTGAGAAACGAACGGAGAGATAGAATGAAAAGAGGTGTTGTTTTTCGTTGACCCTCTTTTCCCGCGATGCCTCATTGTCTCGCCACCGAAAAGCACTTGACGCTCTCTCACTCTTATCGGACATACGACTGCTGCTGCTTGACGTTTTGTCTTACTCTTTCCAGACTGCAAGCAGTGATCGCGAAACTATTCAAGTCGTTGCTCTTTCCCTTTTGTTGAAGGATCTTTATAGCGACACAGCTGTGACGTACCTCTCTTCTGAAATCGTTACCGATAAACATCGGTGAAATACGTAATTTGAAAAACAATCATTGTCGAAGATATTTCACTTTCGCAAATATTAAATCGTGAATTTATAGGTCAAGCACCTCGTTGCCAATGCATTTATTCAAGAATCAGATCCAAAAGCGTCGTCGGCGTCGTCGAGCTTCGAGTAATCCCTTCTAATTTGAACGAAAATCGCGGGGCGCGCGCGTCTTGCGCCGAAAAAAAGGAGGGCAACGGGCACTTCCGTCTCGGCAAGCTGACTCCACGACACCTCTATTCCCTCCCAAATTTAATCTTTGCATTTAAATCATAAATCACGAGCGCGCGGCGGCGGCCGACTTTTAAGAAGTCAGCAGAAAACGAGACGTCAAACTTTCCTCTAACACTCGAGAAACAGGCGGACGCCCCCCCCCCCCCCCCCCCCACCCGCAGTTAATTTGGGAAATCATTGTTATGGAAATTGAACGGTTGTCGGTGACTTTTCTAACGATGGTAAACGTATTTTTGTGCTTTCAAATGATTTTGAACGTTTTTACAGAGAATTTAGTAAGTGATTCAGTGGTAAATGTTAAATGTCAAATATTTTTAATGTTTCTTTCATTTTCTAACTTGACAAATGAAAAGACAAAGTCAAATTATAAAATTTATTAACTATATATTAAATCGCGTTTTATAAATTTTCATTGCAAGAAGAGTATAACGACAATAATTACATAACAGGCATATAAAAATAACAAGACGAATAGTAATTTGTATAGATGATAAAATAATACTATCCTTACAAATATTTTCTGTAATTTTGCATGATGACTAATTCAATTATCATTTCATATGCCTTAAAAAAGACTTAGAAATTTAATTTAAAAAATTTTCAAATTATCTAAACTGAATAATGAAAAATTGTTATGGAAAAAATTAGATTGTTCGTAAATTTATTTAGCGTTTCATATAATTATGTCTGGCCAAAGCCTGACCCACTCTACTGATTTTTTTCCAGCAAAATCATCAACATTCATGGTCTACACCTAACGATTATCCGTTAATAATCTCGGTTTTCTGTTCCTTTTTTCTGTCGCGATTTCGCTTCTTTTTTTTCTTACTGGTGATCTCAAACTTCCGTTTACGAGGAAGACTGGTAGGATCTACATGAGCAAACAGTCGTATCAATTGACATTGTACCTTGAAAAAGGCGATATTAATGTAAAATACTCACGGTTTTCTGGTATGTTCATAAGTTTACGTAGCTCAGCTCGAACTTGCTTGTTGATGATTTCTCTGCACATTTCATCAAAAGTAGGTGGGAGCCATCCTAACTTTTCATGACAGCTCAGCATTTCTGAAATTCTACCAGACTAGGAGGAATCGCAACACCAGTTTTCAAGCAGAAAGAGAGAGAAGTATGAAAAAAGAAGAAGAAAATAGCGTCGGGCCAATATCGCGAAGGCCCGCGCAAAATAAATAAGCCGTCGGCTGTCGGCATTAACGTGCCCGCCGTAGTAGTAGGAAAGTCGATGGAAGCAGGCCAAGAATCGGACGAGACGAAAATCGCGAATCGGACGAGTTTGGTCGCGTCACGTGTGTGCCAGTCGATGCTTTGAAAGCCAAGAAGGAGTAATTAGGCTGCCAGAGATGTGCTTTTTCGCTTGTGCGTCTCTCTGTCTCTTTTTTTCGTTGGCGCGAAACTCCGTTTAATTACAGACGATACGCGCTTTAATTAATGCGAACGCTGCCAGTAATTCGAGAGAAAAGAGGTAAGCTCAACGAGCCTTGTTTGAGGGGTAAAACAATCTCGCAAATAAGCGCCATCGTAGCGTAATATAACTCGTGAATAAATTTACAAATTCATTATGAGAATATGTACGTTTGATATTTTCATAAGAGAAAAATAATATTTATATAAGTATATATGCTTTAATAATAATTCAATGAGACGTAGAGTATTGTTATAAAATATATTATAAATCTATTTTCCATTGACACTTAACTTTAAAAGCATACTTTTAAGTCTATAGATGAAAACGTACCTATGTTCATATTTTAGTAATCAAATAGTTATTCTATAATGTATTTTACAAATGCTGTCATTTTAATACACCTAATAAAGTTTTTGATAATTATTCTAACATTATGCTGCTGCAAATCGATTTCAATATCAAATCTTTTTAGGTTTAACGCACGAGCAGCCCTCCTCTACTTCAAATATAGCAACTCTGAAGTCGTTAACGTTAAAATACTGTTTATTATTCGGTAATACTAAAACCTTCACGTGCCGAAAAGTTTGTTTACACGTGCCTGAGCTCGGTTTTGGTTGCCTCGCAAAGTAGTCAGCACAGGCATTACCGACATTGCTGTTGAAACAAAAAAAACATTTATTCGTAAAAATGTGCGCCTAACATACGAAAATTCATCGTTTCTCTCTTTTTTAATGTACTCACATGCATTTGTAAGCTTCGAATGTTTGTTGAAATGCTGGTACGTTGATCAAAAAGTGAGATAAAGTAAACTCGTCATTAAAGTTTCGAAGCAATGGTTTTGGAAGTTCTGTGCTTACTACTACAGAACAAGCTCCTCTAGGTCGATCCCTTGTACTAGTGTTGCGCCCCCAAAAAGGAGAACGCAGTCGAAAATCACGACGCTCTGAAAAGTATTTTATGACTTTTGGATCTACGTATCCTTTGTCTTTGCCGTTATTCGATAGAACTTCACGAAGTCGATCGAGGCCGACTTTGATATTTTCTGAATTTTTTACATTTTGTTCCTCGGTGGTGAACTAACGAATAAAAACATTCATATTTTGACAAATAATCGATGAAATGACAAAAATATTATTTCTTACACTGTTAATGCTTTGTTTGTCGTAATCGCCAAGACTGCTTTGCACGTCTCGTCGAGGTCGATTAAACCAGATGCCCTTGTGCCGACAACATGTGGAGCTTCCATGAAGAAGCTAGTTAATAATAAAATTACTAAATAACATTTGACTGACAAAAATTATTCCAAAATGAATTACCAAAAACAAAAGTAGCAATGCGCTAAGCAAATGATTCCACATTATTACAGTTAATATATCGAAATTTCAATGCAACCTCTGTTCAGCTAATAAATTACCGTCAAACGAAGGTTTTTACGTTTGATATGATAACTGCCGCTGTCATTTATTTTTGTTCTGATTAGCGCATTTTTTCATTTGCGTAGTCTGGAGAAGCTGAAATAAAGTTAATTACCAAGGCGATAACGAGTGTATCTCATAATTAGCTAGATTGATCATTGTGACGAATATCCAAGAAAACGATTTTTAAAATAGACTTTTAGGGCAACGTACCTTTCAGAATTTTGTAACCGAAGAGCGGCAAAGAAAGTCCGACGTTAGTAGTATTTTTCCGAACGATGGTAATTTCAAAATGTTTTCTTCTTCACTCTAACCTCAAAGTTACAATTTTGTCGTTGCATATCCCTGCTCTTTATGCGAGAGGAAAGAAAAAACACGGTCCAAAGTAACACGTGCGTCGGAGCTCTCTTGACGAAACTCGTTACTTGCAGCACTCGGTTCGTGTCGTAAACCTCGCGTTTCACTGAAATAAAGTCTCCTTCCTGGTACCTGATGTCCGCGAGTGCGTGATGCGCGTAGCGCGAGAGCCAGCTAATTACTACAAAGCCGTGATTTTGGATTGGAAAAAAAACGCAGAACGGTTAATGTTTTGATAATACGAGGAGATATATCTGACTTGGAGGAGAGAGGGGACTTCCCTCCTACTTGCTCTCTGTTGTAACTACAAACTTGTGATAAATATAGTTGTGCGGTGTACATATAGTTGAGTGCTACTCGGTAACTTCTCTACTGCAGTGATCTACGAACACCGCTCTGATTATGCACTATTAGCCACTATACGACTAACATCTATATACCGCATCTATTATATTAATTTGACTGTAACTTTTGAAATCGTGTAATTTCTTTTTTTTTTTCATTATTTTAAGAAAATATCGAAGACTGCTACTCACATGCGAGTAACAAATTAATCAAAAAAGTGTTCTATATTTGTTAAAGCTACGAATTCGAAACGAAACGAACGAAAGTTCGAACGAAAATTTCAAACTTTGTTTAGTATGTGCATCATAAAAATATAACAAGTAGTACGGCCACACTTATTAATTAACAGAAATTTTACAGAAACATAACGCTTATGTCGTATTCTTCTTTACCAGTCGGCAACGTCAGTAACTCCACTTCTCGATGCATTTGCTTATACGTACTCATTGATTGCATTAACTAACTGCCGCCAATTCAAACAACTCCGGGGCTAATTTTAATAAAATCGAGAAGATTTGTGAGTTTTTATCGGGAAACTCTTTGACTTCTTAATTCTTACCGTAACTTTATTTAAAATGAGTCAGGTAACAAGAAATGTATAAAATAGTTTGAATATGTTATCACAAAATAGATTTGTTACTCAGAGACATTCAGAAATGTTGATCATTTGGTCAAAATTTGTAGTGTGTACCGCAAAACGAGTACCACCATATTTCTCTCTGGATGCATTGGTCGCACATGAAAAATCCTGTTTGGCCCTGTTTTCTCTCAGAATTCAAAAATAATTTAATTTAATTTAGATTTATTAATCATTTAGCAATTAGTAGTTTTGAGGAACCGTACCACTATTGCTAATATATAAGCCAATAGAAAGTGTTTCGTTAAAATATAAAGGAAGGCATTAGGCATTAACACTCTAATTTTCATGGAAATCATTCGTTTTTGAACCATAAATATATTTAATACTATTTATTTCCCTTGAAAATGTCAACAGTTATCGAATAAATGATAATAAATGTTTTTTTGTGTATAAATGTAAGATATATTTATATTATAAAATATAATAAAGATAAAGATGATTTTGAATATTGATTGGATATTCAACTTTATTTACATTCTATTTTATAACTTTCAAGCTTCTAATTAAGCTTTTCTGCGTAAATGGACCAGTCAAAGTATAGTGTATAGATCTTCTGAGAATGACAAAGCACAACAAATATTGTTTTGAAGTTAGAAGCTGTAAATTCATTATAATTGTACAAAGCACTGTACTTCCTGTCTCCGACAAACTTTGAATCCAATACATTATTTGTTATTTTATGCTCGCTTTATCTTCATTTACTGGCGCGTGAATAATTATTTTCACTTGTACTCTTTCGTTCAAGCTTTCGCACGAAGAACCAAAAAGTACTTCTCATTAGACTGTGAGGCATTCAGGCCGAAAGTCCGGGACGGAAAAAACATCGAGAAAGAGAAAGAGAGAGTCGTACACTCATTTTGCGCGTTCGTCCTGTGTACGTTTCTCGAGAAGATTCGAGACGTCAAAGCACATCGGTTGAGCCGCTCTCTCAGTAGCAGCATCAGCCACTTTCCTATCCTTTACCCTTAATGAGATTAGCGGATGATCCGTTAAGCTTCTTGGACATGCTCTCGACTTCTGCGCTAAGGAATATATTTCGGATCTCCTCTCTCTCTTTTCAAGGGAGAGCAGGTCCGCCTCTCGCTGTTTATTCGTAATTGCCGGCAGCCGGAAAATCTCGGCGTTCGCGCTGTAAAAGCTGCCCATCGTCATTTTAATTCATGGCGCGGAGCCGTTTACGTCTTCCCTCTCTCTTTCTTACTTCACTCTTATCGCTTTCCAGCACAACTTCGCTTTATATTACATTTACGAGGCGGAGCGCGAGCGCGCGCTTTATTGCCGATACTCACGGCTGATATTTACAACTCGCAGCAGCAGACGCGAAGACCTGTCGAAGGGCACATAAAAGCTTCCTTTCAAAGCGAAAAACACATTTCTGAAGTTGGACGCTTGACGCCGGGAGGAATGAGCTTCATCTTGCTCGCCAGCGCAAGACGACGCGGATACATCCACGCCGTTAAGACTATTTGGAGCTGGCGCATCATCAATTTCTCGCAAGCGCTCGCCCGAGCAACTGTTGATTCCGCTTTGCTTTTTCAGCGAGAGCTCGCCTCGCGAAAATCGCCGGATGAACATTCGACAAAAGTCTGGAATTGGTTTATCAGAGTGAAAAAAAAAACGAGAACGTTTCGGCTACGAACAGCAGTCAAATTAGTAAACTTAAAATCCAGCCGATCGATTGCAAGTCTACGAGCGGTTCAACTTTTTTTTCCCCTCCCCCGCATCTCCTTTAAGTGAAACATCAATATTCGAGAGACCGCAAATTAATAATACGCGAGCTCGGCCAATCTGGCGCGCGGGCGGGAGGAGTTTTCCTCGTGGCGTAACGAAAGGGGGGTAGGAAACTTAGAGCTGCGAGCGGAGAGAGCAATTTCCCGGGATACCGACAGTTCGATCATTTTGAAACAGTATACCGGTGCGATACACGAGAAGAAGGAACGATGGAGCTTGCAAGAGCGAGAGAGAGGGCATGCTAAGTAGTATAGGTTTGCTGGCAGAAGATGCCTCGGGGAATATGCGCGCCCCGACGAAAGCAAACACGAGAGCGAAAGGACGACATTAAGGAGGAGACGGAGGGAGATATGCGCGTCCTGCTCTCTCTCTCTCTCTCTCTCTCTCTCTCTCTCTCTCTCTCTCTCTCAAGTTATCATGACTTGAGCTGTAATCCAGAGCGTCGTGTCGAATTGAGAGTTTGATATGATGAAAGATTGTGTCGAATAATTAAACTAATGGAGATTCATTTTAAGATATTGATATCAGTCGTTTTATAAAGGTCATTACAAGTATGGAGGATGTAGTTCTCTTTTTTCTTTCATTGCGAGAAGATATATATGTGTTAAACAATGTATAAATTTATGTTAAACAAAGTTCACCTTACGTGACGAACTATAATCGATTGGTTTTGTTTTATTTTGAGAAAATGTAATGTTTGTGTGATGAAAAATGTTTTCGTTTTATATTAGATTATAGGTTGAAAATTGTAAATAAATTGAATAATTATTCATTATTTGAAACATAGCAAACACTTGTCCTCGCTAAAAGCTATTTTATCAGAACTTCTAATTGACTTATTTGTCTAATTATAGCTGGAAGTGTGACGGCAAGTTGCTCTAATTATGACTCTAATTGCGTGTGTGTGTGCGTGTGTGATAATAGAGCTCAAATCATCTGAAATGAATGTTACACATATCCTAAAATTTTAAATATAGAGAAGTTAGTTTTTAGAAATCTACTAAAATGAATGAATCAAACATCGTGAATATTCAGTTTCTACTGAATATTATATTCTTTCTACTTGTGGTACGTAAAATATTAACTATTTTGTGTTAATGCAACGTTAGTCGTGATATTGACAATATTTCAGTTTTTCCGTTGAATCTTCAAATGAAATAAAATGTGGTTTTTACAGCAAGACAATTTTGCAGCTTTTGGCGGGTGTAGAACGCTGGCAAGTCCCCATTTGTTATATTAATATTACTAAGGATAATAATTAATTTCAATTAATCATTATAGCTTAAAGAACGTCATCCAATAAATATGTTTGGTGAAGATAATAAGCGATATTTCATCATAAACAATGACGTAGTAATACAAAAAGTTGTATCTAACTTATGTTTGTAAGTTCATGCATTATAAATTCTCGTTTGAAGATAATAATTTCAACTGGCACTATTGAAATTTTGTTCTACAGACCTGATCAACCATGCGCGAGAAAAGGAACGTGTGAACAAGTTTACAAGATAGTTTCACTACTTGCGGTACCAGCAGACGATCATCATTCTGATTATCAACTTATTGATTTCAAATTTCCCGATGGTTGTAAATGCATAAATCTGTTTTGAAATTATTATGATATCGCTATATTTTTCCAATTACGAACGCTTTATACATGTTTTATTCCATTTAAATGTAATGGTATTTAATTCATTTTATGAAATCTTTATAAAAGTACGGAAATATTTGACCTAACCTTGACCTGCCAACGGAAAGTGTTACATAATAATAAATATTTTAAGGCAGATATAGTGAATTATTTTTATTAAAAAAAAATTATTTATTCAATATAATAAATATGAAACAATTCATGTGCGAAGTTACATCTCTTACCTTGTAAGTGAAAGTGTGACGATGCGACATATCTTTGCAAAGAACTGCTCACAGTTTTGAGACTGTTACTGAGATACATTTATTAGTTTAGTTTAAAAAAGCTTTTACTGTTATTGTTAAAATCTCTACTAGATGTTTTAGCGATCTGAGACTTTTAATTTCTTTCAAGTCGAAATTAATGCCATTAGATAAAACTTCAGAAAACAAATGTTATCGTTCTTATAAACACTCTATGATTAAAGTAACCATTCTTTGACGTCACTTGCTTCAATGTTGACACACAAGTTCCACGTCAAAACAATATCTCGCTTTTTTCATTTATGTAGCACGTTACTGTATTTTGAAATATGATAGTTTTACCCGGGTTATAAGTCACAATAAAAAATAATGTACGTATAAATGGATTCCGAGTCTAGCAAGTTCAAGTTGTCTATTTGCATATCTACTACCAATAAGTAGCATTTACAGCGTGCTTCGCACGCAGATTTCCGATTACTATCAGAAATACGTATTTAAATTCAATTTGAAAAGTTTGATAATTACAAATTTCCATGTTCGAAGTCAAATT